TTTTTTTTTTTTTTCCCCTTCTTGCCTTCTGGAATAAGCATGCACTCTTTAGAGATTGTTTTGTAAACTTTTCCAGCCTGATGAGGAACAACAACTCTTTTTCCTTGGAGATCTCCTTTGTTCGTGTCATGATTAATTTCCACAAACATGATCAGACTTTGATAGATTATTAAAAGTATATGAATGGCGGCAATACCGGCGTATTTAAGAAGAATAATGTAGCAGCACTACACACCCACATGAAAACAGCAGCGCAACTGGTGTTTATCATAGCAAAGGCAATGTATCATATGAATTCTGTGAGCGGAGGACAAGAGCTCAGGAGTTAATGCTGTTAGAAGAAATCTCTAGCATTAATTCTCCTGTTCTTTAAATAAAACAGGGCACACACTGACCCCTGATAGTCATCCCATTGATTGAAAACACCTCTGAACAGATGGACTCTAATTTTACATTCTATGAATTCCGTGAGCGGGGAACGGGAGCGCCTGAGTTTATGCTGTTAGAAGAAATCTCTAGCATTAATTCTGATCATGGCTTGTCTTGAAAAACGAAGACAGTTTGACATTCGTCATAGGAGAAGTCACACTGCAGGACTGTGCGCCAAATCCTCTGACACTGCCAGAATTTCGTCGGAGGTAAAATTTTATCACAATGGCCATTAATCGGCTGTTACGTTCGTCGTAGGAGAAGTCACACTGCAGGACTGTGCGCCAAATCTTCTGACACTGCCAGAATTTCGTCGGAGGTAAAATTTGATCGCAACGGCCATTAATCGTCTGTTGGTGAACATGTCAAACTACCGATCAAAGACTACAGATTTTAGCCTAGGATTATAGGAATCATTTCATTTCGAGTAACGGACGGTAGAAAGTTCAACAATGAATGAATGGTATGCGATTTATGACAGAATATAGTCCCACAACTACTCTTTTTTTTTTTTCCTCACGTGTCTCGCCTTTGGTAACAATGATTCAAAACGGAAACATTTAAAGTAACACGGGAAAAAAC